TTGAGAATGGGATTGATTTGAGCAAAGGACTGAAGTAACTGTGAGATAGGAAAGGGATTGTGAGAGAGCTTGAAAGAAGAACTGAATTGAACTGCACGAAAGAAAGTAGTGAGTTACAGTGTGACCTTGGACCGAAAAGGATATTTTCAATCTCTGACAATTCGGTATCGGTGGCAAGCTCAAGCACCGATCGCAGCTCTGGATCGAAGTCATGGGCACGGTGATAGGGGGAATTTGCATCTGCATTTGCATTCGCATTTACACTTGCAGCTTGAAGAACGGAAAAGGTTCTACGAGGAGAAGGGAAGGGATTGAGAATTGGCGCAGAAGAAAACAGTGGAAGTGGGTAAGAGAGTGTTCTCATTCCCATTCCCATTCCCATGGACACAGTTGCCATCATTCGATTCGATTAAACCAATCAATTTGTTTAGTCTGTGTTTCCCTCGCCCATTTACACAAAATAATTAGGGCACAATTCCTCCCTAAATTGCTATATTTTTCTTATTCCTATTCCTCCTGCTCATATTTTTCATTTCTAGTAATCATACCCTTCATCAATTATAATCATCGTTGAATCTTTCCAAAACATTATCACTACATAATTAGCATATATCGGAATAAGATACCCTACAATTCAAACTAAAGTGTTTGTTCTCATATTGAATCTCCAAATAAAACAATCTTTGTCACGTGTTATGGTGTACTACCAAAGAAGATTAAAAGAAAAGACTCCTCGTTAGTTCAATAAGTATTGTGAAGTCCATTACTTTACCTACCAATCTATGAAAAAAATAAGATGATACAAATAATGTCTTTTTACATTTAAATAAGAGTTTGTATGTCAATTATAAGAGTATAAACATAACTCTATCTGTGAAATTGATGTTTACTTGGTTAAAACTTATTAGAAATGGATCAATAAATCATAATCAAGATCAAAATTGTCCCATTTAACTTAACATGGATGATTTTGATTTCAAATTCTATTTTCAATAGAAAAAATATGCATATTAAAATGACTAAGTAATCTCAACTTGTTATTAGATGTCAACCAATACATTAAATTATGTATTTGACTCAAAATCTTTAATATTAAGATAAAAAACATAATTATTAGAAAAATGTTTTATAATTAAGTAAATAATACATCATTTTAGATCATTTATTAAAATCTCATGTAAAAAATTAAGAAAAATATCTTCTTTTTCACTTTATCTTTGCTATCAGATGAGAGATGTATTAATATAATAAATAAAAAATATCTCTTATTGGTTTTAGATAAAAAGTCGTGTTACTTTGTAATTTCAAATTTTGTATTATATAAAGTTGTATGAGTTATAACGACTATAGATATGATTTTTTTTTCTAATAAAATTACAATTTCAATTAGAATGAATGATTTTTTTGGTAGCTTAAGTTTTCCGAGATAGTACTAAAATAACAAATTATAATTGTTATTAGTTTTAAATTATTTGAATTGCATTATATTTACTATATTAACTTTTTAAAATAATTTACTAAATTTATCTAACTCTTTTCATCTTACTTTGATAATATGTTCTGAATGATTCTACCTTTTATAATAAATAATTATAACTATTCATACAATTTATATATTACATTTGAAGAGAGCACCCTAAAGGACTAAAATTTATTATTTATGAAATACATTTATTCAAGAATGACATTTTCAGAAATATAAAAACTAAAACTTTTTAAAAATATGGAGTGCAGAAACGCCAACAACAATAAGAAATAGAAATATGAGGATTCTCCTCCACCTTTTTCCGCTAGAAATGTCTCCAACATTTGTCTCTTGTTCATAATCATCACTTAATACGATGAAATCTGTAGTAGGAATGCTCCATTCCTTGTCTTCCACTCGAATATATAGCTGAGGTACTTGTATCCTGTTTTTGATGCTTTGCTTCTCCTTGTTGTTTGTTTTACAAGATAGCACACAAATTCATTTGAGAAGTGTATTTATCTTGGGAAGGAAGTGTAACACCCTTATGCTATACACACCCTCCAAAGCTTGTTTAACGAGTAAGATGAATTATATAATCTAATAAGTAGGTATTACACTATCTTCTCAAAAGAAAATACACATTTATATAGGTAGAAGAAGGTTTACTATTATTTTAATATATTTTTTATGTAGCATACTCAGCATCATCAATGCATTTTCCACAAGTAGTTTTTGGGCAGCAAAAGCACTTAAACTTAGACGCTTTATGGCAAGAGAGCAAAAAATGTGAACATGCAAAAAGAATTGTTCAAAAGTCTTTCATTACCAAAAGGATCAAAAGGCATTCTAACATAATCTCTTAAACATGAAGAGAGAGTGGTTCTTTTACGAAAATAGATAAATCTGTGTCTTAATAAATAAATTTTAAAAAAATTATAATGGACAAGTTGAGTAAGTTTTACATTCTTTCATACCAAATAATATTTCTATACAATTTGATTTTTTTTTTATATTTGAAAAGTTAAAGTCATACACCGTCTAAACAACTTTAACTTACCAAAAATAATAATGAACTATATCGATGATTTTAAGAGTGAAATTATCTACTTCACTTGACTTCATTCTTGAAGTCGTCTATCCCACACACTTCATCCTTAAAGTCGTTTATCCCAAAACGATTTCAGTAATACTTATTTGATTATGATTTCTAGTAATTGATTATAATTTGTTATAGTCGTTTAGGGATACACAACTTCAACTTTTCAGATATAACAAAATAGAAATCGTTTAAAGATACACTACTTATTCCTATACAATTATATAGGATTTGAACAATTTTATCTTATTAATTTTTTTTAAAATTTACTTATTCTCACAATTTAAAAGGCAGATTTACCTATTTTTATATATAAAAAAACCACATAGATCAACATATTTGAGCAATTAGATCTTATGTTAGAATCAACAAGAAGGTTTACTACAAGTTCACTCATTTTCCTTCTCTAAAAATGAATTATCTTTCTCCAGTAACATAGATGATGAGCTTTCCGGCAACCCCTTCCATCAACATGGGTTAATTAACCATCAGAGTGAAAGTCTCTCCCAGGAAATAAAATGGTCCAATATTCCAAATTGAGATTCATCATTAATTATACACACAATTGAAGAAGATTCCAACTTCCAAGTAAACAACAATTTTTTCAACAAAAGGTAAAAAATAAACAAAGCCTTATGAGCTAGTTATTTTTTAACATTTTCTATGTTAGCTGCAAAGTCCAATATTTGGTGTTTCGATCTCCATTTGTCCGATTGACATTTTTATAATTTTGTCATTAAAAGATATTTCGGATAAAGTTAACATTAGGTACTTGAGGGGTATTACGTATTGTAAATCAGTATTTTGTTTAACTTTATGTTACTATTGTAATTCCGTTTTCTGTTTTAAACAGATTAGGTAGTTATTTTGTTTTTAATATGTTGTTTCCTTCTTTTAACTTTATATAGCTAAAGCCCTGTATCATATCACAGTTGAGTTTATCAGTTCTAAGGAAATTGCAGAGCACTGATCTGCATTCTTTTCTCCAAACGCTAATACTCTATGGAATCATATGTTTAATTCAGAAATTGTCTGTGTTTTGTGTGATTTAATAATGCTATTGATCAATAATTGGTGTTGTTCTATCAATTATTCTGAACAAGTTGTTTGTAAGGGTCAATTTGCTGAAGTAGGGAAGAGGAGGACGTGTTACTATTTTTGAATAAGAAAAATAATGAATTTGAGGTTCTCATTAAATTTAAATTTTAAACTTCCACTACAACCTGCTTTATTTAAGTTCTGATAAATTTTTTTTAGCATAACCAAATTGTGAAAGTATTCTTATGATTGATATTCCTTACTGGTGCAATGAATATCAGAACTGCGAAATAAACAAATTAAATTTGGAACTTTATCCTGTTACTTCAAAATTAACTGCGGAAATCTAGTGACATAAATGCTCACCATCTGTTTGAAAAATGACATCGAACAAACTTTCAATTTGTTTCAAAATTTAATTTCCTCAATCAATAAAAATAAATCGAGTACATTGTTAACATTGTTTTACAAGTTTAAAAAGTCAACTTGCCTAATCACTTTCATTAATCTGAATAATTATATTAGAGGTGTCTTAAGAACGTTAAAGTATATTTCTTAACATTTTTTTCGGGTACACAAAAATCTCAAGTATTCTTTACACTTAGTTAGCCTTGTTAAGACACGCATCAAGAAAGAAGGTTGATAAATTTGATGTGTTGTTGGGATGATTGCAACGTCAAGTAGTTAGATGCATAACTAACAAGTTCTCTCTGAAACAAACTTACCTTTTCGGATTTGTTTTTTTTTCTCTTAAAAACTTAATGATTTAGAATATGTTAAGAGAGGAACTTTTCTACCAGTATTTTTTAAACAAAGAGATAAAAAAAATATTTTGTTATGAATTAAATTGATTTTTAAACATAATTCAATTCAACAGATCTTTTATATATTAATTTCAACATAAACGAGTTAATTTTGTTCAACTAAAAGTACAAAATACAAACAGTGTATTTTTAGAGTTTTATTTCCCCTGTAATAACCATATACAGTCTACTTAGAAAACCGTATATCATCTTAAGATTAACGCTTAATTGGTAAGCATCATTAATCTTTGTGAATATATTTTTTAATTTAATGCTTAACTTGTTTTTTATCGATTAAGGTAAAAAAGAAAATGTTGTTGACATGAGATTAGTTTTTGAAATATAAGATGAGTTTTGAGGTTAGGTTATTGGGTTGGGAGCATTTATCGAGAATGTGGGTATGAGTGTATCTTATATTAAAAAATTGAATTAAAGTATAATTTAAAATTAGTTAAAAGAATTATTAATTTTAATTAGTTAAAAATAAGAAGACAATTTGTTTTCTTGAAAGATAATGTGGTTAGTAGGAGAGAGTAAAAGGAAGGGGAAAGAAAGATTAAGGAGATGTGATGTAATATTAATTAAGAAAATGAAAAGAAAGAGAATAGGAATATATTGATTAGGGAGAAGAAAATGAACAGCACAGCACAGCGTAGCAGGAGCGGAGCCCGTGTGCGAGCAGCAGGAAGTACACAAAGTGGAAGGGAAGAGAACCCAAACGAACCCCACTGCTAAATCCAACTACCTTCTTCATCGTCCTCTCTTCTTATTAGTATTCTCTTTCACACAAGGTTATCTTCTTCTTCTTCTCTTCGTCTTCTTCTTCTTCTTCTTCTTCTTCTTCTCTGTCCTTCTATTATTACCGTTCTAACTTCGTGCTTGGAAATCCAGAAGAACGGTAAAACCCTTCCTTCAGAATCAGATCCTGATTCATTGGGTGTCCCACCCGCATTCCAATTTTATCCACATTCATTGGGCTTAAGTGCTCTGCTTCTACTCCCGTCGATCGCGATTGGATTTTCAAACCTGGGTTGGGTTAGGTTTTCCAACCATTAATTTTTCCAGCTACTTAGTGCTTTACTTGCATCATTACCAGTGGCAATGGCGCCACTTCCTTCTGCCTGAGGCCGGGTAAGCTCCACCCTTCACCTAAAGTTCCTCATTTTCAGTATTCTTTATATGGAATGCCGCGTGTTCTTTTTGCCCTTTCCCATCTCAACTCTGTTATTATTTCTTTCTTTAGTGGCCGTAGGAGCTTTACTTCAGTATGGCGGACTCTAACACAAGCTCAGTTGATGTGATTTTGGAGTTTCTTCGGAGGAACCGATTCACGAGAGCCGAGGCAGCTCTCCGTAGTGAGATAAATAATCGCCCTGACTTGAATGGCTTCCTTCAGAAGCTCACATTGGAAGAAAAGGCCTCACGTGATGTGCCTCAAAGTAATAAGGGGAAGCCTATGATTGAGTTTCAAGAGGTGGACACTCTTGAAGTTTCTAAAGAACTGATCGTCACGGAAATCGAGTGTGGGAATGGTCGAAATGCCGCTGAAAGCAAATGGAAAACTGCTGCTCCCACTTTGGTGGAACGGAGTAAATCGGATGAAGCGGTTCGAACTAGTGATAAGAACTTCATTTTCTCCAATACTTCAGAGGGTGGGATGCTTGATTTATACTCTTGGAAGTTCAACCCTGGGAAAGCTCCTGTGGAGCCTTACCAAAACGATGCTGGTAGTAGGGCTAATACTATTTTGAGCTTGAATGCCACAGTATCTGAACGATCAAAACGTCAAACTAATGAAGCTGTGGATCTAAGTGTTGCCAATACCAGTTCAATGTCTGGGGAGGAAAATGCTGCTCTTGCTGAAAAAAAATCTCTGTGGTCTGGAAGTAGTAGTAAAACCTCCGTGGATCTTAAGTACGACCTTGCGCAAAGCAAAGAACCTATGGAGCTTGATCGGCAACTTAAATTCAATAGTTCTTCTCTTAAAGGGAACTTTCCAGATAATCCCTGGTCAAAAATGGATGAGAACGGGAATTCGTCTTCAGATTCCTGCAAAAATTGTGTCAAGACGGTTTTCCCCCTCTCGAAAGGGGATGTGTCTTCAAACTTCGATGGTGCCACTTATTCTGACAAAAAAGAGGAGAAAAAAAGGGTAGAAATTAGTGAGGCCAGAACATCCATAAAAGAGCAGGTGGGTGAATCAGGGAGGTCTATTTACTTGGCCAAGACACCTGTCAGTTCTGAACAAAAGTTGATTGGCAGCTTAAGATTTCCTCTTCCACCTGAAAATGAGAAGGAAGAATTTCCCAGGCTTCCTCCAGTTAAACTCAAGTCAGATGATAAGCCCTTGGTTGTTAACTGGGAAGAGAAGTTTGAGCGAGATGGGCCAACTTCAAACCCCCCTGGTACTGACAGCACTTTTCTTATTGGTTCATATCTGGATGTACCTATTGGACAAGAAGTTAATCCTTCAGGTTAGCTTATATTTACAAGGATTAAATTTCATCTGATTGCAGATGATTTCTGCCTTTCAATTGATGGTTTCCCTTTTGAACTTAATAGGAGCTACACTTGTTGGTTGGTCATGATAATAGCTAATTTTGTAAATGGGAAACCTTTCCTGATTTTTATTTGTAAAATGTGAGTTCAAAGTTTCTGTTGTTGAATCTTAACTGCTTGTTGTTTAAGGGAAACATATATTTTCGGATTTTGCTAGTCGAGAATCTTCTTTTCTATAAATTAGTTAAGCTTAGAAAGGAATCGAATCCCATAACTAGGAGTCCAAGTAGTTGTATAGGTTGTTGAAAAGTCAGTCAAAATTCATCAACTAAAGCCACTTAAGGGGTCAGCTAGTGATTTTTTTGTTTCTACTGAATTCAGAATAGTATTCCATGAAGTACATATAATAAATATATTTTTGTGTAATGTTCTTTACTTCCTAGTAAGTAGTTAGTATAGTCTTCCCCCTTGAATACTTATCCCATATGCATACCCACCCTATTTATATATTGGGTCTTGCTGATAATATCAAATTGCAATTTAAATTTTGAAATGCTAAAACTAATTTTTGAATCATGAAACATAAATCATATGGAATTATAAGATTAAGAAACCATTGAAATATAGCCTGAAATATATCATATAAATGGTGTGTAGTGCGGATATAATAATATAAAACTAGAAAATGACTGGCTAGTCTCATGAAACAAAATCATGAGTCATTATTATGTGGGAAGTCTCTATTTTAGAAGACTAAAAACGGAGAAAAGAAACAAAATATATAGTGGACAGAGAAGGAAAAACGACCAGAATGAAAATAGAGCATTTGACTATCTGAAATGTGAATGATAGTAAAAATAATCTATCTATCACAATATTCAAAGTCATAACATAAACCATGTAAGCAAATAAAGAATTTTGTTTTTTAACAATCACACAAATTACATTCACATCATTTCTATTTGTAATAATAAAATGCCTTTAAAATAAGTAAATAAAAAAAAAATGCTAAAATGAATATGAAGATTCTACATGTACTTTTTCCTGATTACTATAAAGATATTGAGAATATTTTTATCCTAATAATCTACTATTTACAATACTTCCCTTCAAATTGGTAAATGAATATCAATCATTCCCAACTTGTTTTACAAGATCGTATAATCCAACATGAGAAAGCCCTTTAATGAAATGTCTGTCATCTGAAATCTTGTAGGGACATCTGTTGTAACCACTAGGCCATTGTCAAGAGTGTCTTTGATGAAATGCCTTCCGATTCCAATATGTTTGGTCCTATTATGTTAAACGGGATTATGGACAATACTCATGGATTCCTTATATCGAAGGTTTTCTTAGGAGTGTGTCCAGTTGTGTCCCATTCTGTTCCATACCACTACAATGGATTTTCATGTATTTTGCTTCTCTTTTTCTTGGTTGTATGTTTCTAGTTTTGAAAATTTGCATATTAGTTCGTTCTAAATTGCCACTTGAACCACTGTGAGGACTGTATTGGAGTTTAATCTTTGTCGTGGATGTACTTTCCCGTTTTTGCATTGAATAAAAGTATCTATAGGAGTTGAAGTTAGTTGGTAAATTTCCTGTAAGAAGGTTTGCAAAAAGTGTGAAAGTTAACAATAAATGTTTGGATATTTACAGTGTGGTAATTGGAGGAAAAATAAGGTATGAATTGAAATAAAAACAAATCTTTCTGTTGTACTTGATGCAGGATTTCACTTTCTTTTTGGTTTCTATAGACATGTTTTTATTTTCTCATAGTTTTCCAATAGCAATGCATAAAGTAAGCGAAGTGATTCTCACTTTGTTCTTTTCCTCTTTTTACTTTCGGTTAAGGGAAGAAAAATTATAGAAGAAAAATCGAGCTTAATTAGAAAACAATGTTAATACCTTTGCTGTGAAAGGAAATGAATAAGGTAATGGTGCCATAATCATCGCATTATGGATTGAATACTCTATCTAGAAGCAATAATTGATTGTAAATCTTCTCTATTTTCTGGGTACACCTAGCTACAACTAGTTGATATCTGATTGTATGTGCTTATTATTTGCTTGATATACTTGTTCAGATGTTCTAAAGGATGTCTTTGACCTTTTGATATATGCTTCAGGTATGAGGAGGGCTACAGGGGGCAGTTGGTTATCTGTAAGTCAAGGGATAGCAGAGGATACATCTGATCTTGTATCAGGATTTGCTACAGTTGGCGACGGGTTAAGTGAATCTATTGACTATCCAAATGAATATTGGGACTCCGATGAATATGATGACGACGAGGATGTTGGGTACATGAGGCAACCTATTGACGATGAGACCTGGTTTTTGGCACATGAAATTGATTACCCTAGTGACAACGAAAAAGGGGCTGGCCATGAAAGTGTTCCAGACCATCAGGAAAGAGGTCTGGCCAAAGATGAGGATGACGATCAATCTTTTGCTGAGGAAGATTCTTACTTTTCTGGGGAGCGATATCTTCAGGAAAATAATGTTGAGCCAGTCACAGCTACTGATGATTCTATTGGTCTGACAGTTACTGAGTATGGAAGGACCAATGATAATGATTTAATGGCTCAATATGATGGACAATTGATGGATGAAGAAGAATTGAACCTTATGTGTGCAGAACCAGTCTGGCGGGGCTTTGTCCCTCAGACTAATGAACTCATCATGCTAGGAGATGGGAGGGTGTTGAATGATAATGTAAGATCACGGCAAGAGAACATCAAAATGGATGATGATCAGCATGGTTCCGTTAGGTCAATTGGGGTAGGGATTAATAGTGATGTTGCAGATATTGGCAGTGAAGTGCGTGAAAGTTTGGTTGGTGGTAGTAGTGAAGGAGATTTAGAATATTTCCATGGTCGTGATGCTGGGCTTGGTGGCAGGCACCCCCATCGTGATTTGGACAAGAAATCTACTAACAAATCAAATGTAAGTAAGAACAATGACCAGAGTGAGTCAAATAAATATGTCATAGGATGTGACAGAGATACACAGTTCCAGATAAAAACTCATGGTGATGGGAACTTCTCTTTTCCCCTATCTTTGAAGGATGGTGATATAATTCAGGCTTCCACCGATAAGTCCCTGTGGTCAAATAACGACAATGCAGATGAAATTGATGACTGTCTTAGTGCATTTGTGGAAACTGATGACATGCTTGCTTCGTGGAGGCGAAAGAGTAGTGATTCATCACCTGCTAGAAGTTCTAGGGGTGATAATAATGCTAACAATGTAAGATCTGCAAACTCTTCTCCAACAACAATTTCAAATTATGGATATTCTGAAAGAGAGCGTGTGAAGGTGGAGGAGGATGAAAAAACTGGAATTGCTATGGAAGATGACCTAGGAGCAGAGGATGAAGAGGTAGCTGCTGTGCAAGAGCAAGTAAGACAGATAAAGGCACAGGAGGAGGAATTTGAAACTTTCAATCTAAAGATTGTGCACAGGAAAAACAGGCATGTTTTTAATACTTGGTATTTGTTTGTGCTCATGTCTTGATCTGAGATATTTTCACTTGTCGTGATAAACATGCTTACTATTTGCCTCAATTAACAAATAACTTGTGATATAAAACCAATACACTGATTTATTATGATGAAAAGGGTAAAAGGTACAAGATGAATTTGAGACTCTGTTAACATATGCCTATATAGAGCTTAGTTACTAGTTAGTTGTGAAGTCTAACAGAACAGTTACACTCTACCAGCAGTACAACTGCTGTAACAGAAAACAACAGTCTTACTGAAACAAGAACACTAACAGACCAAACACATGTTAAACAGAGTATAACACACTTGCAGACTCAAGGGGGCTGAGAAACCAATGATATTTCAGTTTCGTTGAGTTTGTCCCTAAGAAAAGAAAATCTAGGAGACAAAGGCCTGGTAACAAGATCTGCCCACTTATTGTGACCAGGAGTGTGTTGAACAACATACTGCTTGTTATTACCTTTTTCTGAACAAAGAACACATCAAGCTCCATGCGTTAGGTTCTAGGACAAGAACAGATTATGAGCCAGATTAACAGCACTGAGATTGTCACATAGAACTACCGGAGTATAATGAGGAATGAAAGTTCCATAAGGAGAGTCTGTGTCCATAATATGTTAGCTGTAGCAGCAGCTAAACTCTTATATTCAGCTTTTGTGCTAGATCTTGAAACCACAATTTGTTTTCTTGACCACCATGGAGATAAATTAGGTCCCAAGTAAATGACAGCCCCAGAAGTAGATCTTCTGTCATTAGGATATGTTGCCCAATCCGTATCACAGAAAGCTCTCATAGCTAGAGATTGATAAGGAATGACGTAATGAAAGATGAGACCACAATGTAACACCCCTTTAAGATATCACAATATTCTTTTTACAGCAACCCATTGAGACTCAGGAGAAGCCATAGATTGGCATGCCATGTTGACAGCAAAAACTCAATTCAGGATGAGTTTTAGTAACATACTGACGTACACCAACAATAGATCGTGACAGATCTGAACTATGTACATTTTACAATTAGATATAATAGGAAATGAGATGGACTTAGATTCAAGAATATTATTCTTTGATTAAAACCTTTTGCAACCAATCTGGCCTTTTATTTGTCTATTAAGCCATCAACATTTTCTTTTACTATGAAAACCCATCTGCAGCCAATGCGAATCCTGTTGGGAGGTAAGGAAACACATGTTCAAGTATTATTTTTCTTTAAAGCAGTAAATTGATTAGTCATAGCAGCAAAACATTTGGAGTCCCGCAGGTCTTGTTTGAAAATTTAGGTCCCAGCATCAGGAAGAAGTGTTGGGTAAATTCTTGGCTGCATAATCCTAGGTCTTGTGATCATAGGATGAATATTGGCAGGTCTAAGGTTAGAGCTACAGGAATTATTTTGACAAGAAGACTCTGCTAAAGGTTCAATATGTGAAAAGGCTCCTGAATTCGAAACAAAAAGACTCACCTAAGGAAGAGGAAGTGGACTGACCTGTTGAATTTGATTAAATGACTTGTGCAGCTGCAGGTATAGTAGAATAAGGATGATATATTTCAGGAATATAGGCAGAAATAAAAGGTGAATTAGAAGTAAGGGTGTTGAGGTGGTTGAAAATAAGATGACGATAAGGAAATCTTTGCTTACTAAAGATAAAATCTTTAGAAATAAACACTCTGCCAGCTGGAGATAGAAACATATATCCTGTATGACTGGTAAAATACCCCAAAAAGACATTTTTAGTTGGTCTAAACTAGAGCTTAAGAGCCTTATTTAGTCTAAGAAAAGGAAAGCGAACATACCCGACGACCTTGAGAAAATTGTAATTTGGGGAGGTTTGAAATATAGTATGGGGAGTGGCAAATTGAGAAGACCGTAGGGTGAATTCTTTGTGCATAGTCCCATTTTAGGTCTAAGGTTAGAGTTACAGGAATTATTTTGACAAAAGGACTCTGCTAAAGGTTCAATACTGTGAAAAGGCTCCTGAATATGAGACAAAAGACTCACCTAAAGAATAGGAAGTGGACTGACCTGTGGAATTTGATTGAATGTCTTGTGGAGCTGCAGCTATAGTAGAATTAGGATAATATATTTCAGGAATATAGGCAGAAAGAAAAGGTGAATTAGAAGGGTGTTGAGGTGGTTGAAAAAAAGATGAAGATATTAAAGATGAAACCTTTAAAAATAAAAGTTGAACATAAACAGATATATCCTGTATTACTGATGGAATACCCCAAAGAGATACACTTAGTTGATCTAAACTCAAACTTGATGGCATTATAAAGTTTAAGAAAAGGAAACAAGGCCTACCCAAAGACCTTGAGAAAATTGTAATTTGGGGAGTTTTTAAATAAATTAGTGGAAATTGAGAAGAATGTAGGGTAAATTCTTGGTTGCATAATCCCATTTTAGGTCTTGTGATTATGGGATGAGTGTTGGTGGATCTAAGGTTGGAACTGTTGGAATTATTTTTACTAGAGGACTCTCCTAACGATTTAATACCGTGAAAATGCTCCTCAATTTGAAACAAAAGACTTACCTAAAGAAGAGGAAGTGGACTGACCTGTGGAATTTTATTAAACGACTTGCAGAGCTGCAGGTAAGGTAGAATTAGGATGATATATTTCAGGAATATAGGCAGAACCAAAAGGTGAATTAGAAGTAAGGGTGTTGAGGTGGTTCGGAAAAAGATGAAGAGATGGAAATCTATACTCATTAAAGTTGAAATCTTTAGAAATAAACACTGCCAGTAAAAGATAAACATATATATATATATATATATCCTGTATTACTGGTGGAATAACCCGAAGACATACACTTATTTCATCTAAACTTAAACTTCAGGAAAATTATAAAGTCTATAAGAAAAGTAAAGTGAGCATACCCAAAAGACCTTGAGAAAATTGTAATTTGGGGAGGTTAGAAATAAAGTGGTGTAGGGGGTGGCAAAGTGAGAAGAGTGTAGGGTAAATTCTTGGTTGCATACATAATCCCATTTTAGGTCTTGTGACCATATGATCAACATTGGCTGGTCTATAAGGTTAGAGCTAGAGGAATTATTTTTAATAGAGTACTGCACTAAAAAAAGATAAATACCGTGAAAATTTCAGAGTAATACTATGCTATAGATTAGTTGGTGATCGTTATGAATTCCTAAAGCTGCTTTAATGCTTTATTTTTATTCTTATATTTCAAGAACTAAGGTCTTGGGAAAATATATGATGAAACCTCTTTCAAAGATATTGTTGAAACAGCGTTTTCTTTTACCTTCATGGTAGCTATATGTGAGCTAATGACAGTGGAACTTTTAAGCATTTCATTTTTGCCTCATGTAAAAGGATCTTAATGAGCTTGATAGCTTGTGGTGATTTTTTGTTATGTAGTATGATTTCTTGTTGTTTTTTGTTCTCCCTTTTAGCCTTGAGAGTCTTTCTTAAACTAAGTTTTGTTGCTCAGAACTGGTTTTGAGGAGGACAAGAATTTCCATGTTGTTTTAAATTCTGTAATAGCTGGAAGGTATCATGTTACGGAGTATCTGGGATCTGCTGCATTTAGCAAAGCCATACAAGCTCATGACCTACATACAGGCATGGATGTTTGTGTTAAAATTATAAAGAACAACAAGGACTTTTTTGACCAAAGTCTTGATGAGATCAAGCTTCTCAAGTATGTCAATAAGCATGATCCTGGAGACAAGTATCACATTCTTCGATTATATGATTATTTCTATTATCGAGTAAGTCGATTTGCCATTGATCTTCATTACTATTTGCTTTCAATATAATCAATTGTCATTTAGGCACATCTATTTTTCCTATATCTTACGTTATTTTTTCTTCCATTTTTATAATTTCCACATCATCCGTGTATATTTAATTTTTCTAATTTATGAATGGAATTATTTATTGATAGTTGTATTGTATGCCATGTTCGTCAACTGACTTTACTGCTCTTAACTCTTTTTCTATTGTATGACAGGAACATTTGTTAATAGTATGTGAACTACTTAAAGCAAACTTGTACGAGTTTCATAAATTTAATAGAGAATCAGGTGGTGAAGTGTACTTTACAATGCCAAGATTGCAGGTTTGTGGTGTACCATTTACTTCTTGAGGTTTGGTGCTCATTTTATCTATTCTCAGTGCTAACACTTCTGAATTTATTTATGCAGTCAATTACCATTCAGTGTTTGGAAGCACTTCAGTTTCTGCATAGCCTTGGACTAATACACTGTGACTTGAAACCAGAGAATATTTTGGTTAAGAGCTATAGTAGATGTGAGGTGAAGGTCATTGATCTTGGAAGTAGTTGTTTTGAGACGGATCACCTTTGCTCTTATGTTCAGTCAAGGTCCTATCGTGCTCCTGAGGTTATTTTGGGACTTCCATATGATAAGAAGATTGATATCTGGTCTCTTGGCTGCATCTTGGCAGAACTTTGTACTGGGAATGTAAGGACCAAAGATGATTAATGTACTTCAAAATGTCACTGTTTTTGATAAACAATTGCGTTTTTAGTACAATTTTTTTTCTCAAGAGCCATAAAAGTTCTCACATCAGGTCAAAAAGTAGTTAACTTCACCACTTAAATTCATTTTAATAAAAAACTATTTGTTTTTTCTTGATGCTGGTATCTTTTTAGATACCAAAGTTTCATCATTAAACAAACTCGTATTGTCCTCATAATGAAGAGATGTTAAATTCCTTCCTTGCATAAAGGTAGCATTGCTTTGTGTCATGTTTGTTTTATTTGAGCAATGATCTTATGTTATTGAAGTTAGTTGTTCTGATTTGGTTTTCAGATTATTTACGTTAAAATGAGGATTCCTGTTTCTTCACCATTCATGGACCCGATGATAGTTATTAGAATATAATATCGAATACATTTGCTTACTTTGCGATTGTGGGATTGTTAATAGTTTTTGGTTGAAAGCAATTGCAGAATTTCTCTGTATTATGAGTAGTGCTTTGTTTCCTTTGTTACATGATTAATTTTCTATTATTCTTCAGTTGCAATAAACTAAGCTTTTTGTAGGTCCTCTTCCAAAATGATTCGCCTGCAACATTACTTGCACGGGTGATTGGGATTATGGGTCCAATTGATCAAGGTATGCTTGCAAAAGGACGGGACACCTATAAGTACTTCACCAAAAATCATATGCTTTATGAAAGGAATCAGGTAATAATCTTATTTCTATCCATACCAAATGGAGTAGCCATCAATCTGGAATATTGGTGTTGATTAACCAGTCCCTAGGAGCCAGGCTTATTATGTAAGTTAAATTAGATGTTTAGTGTCTGGCCTTGACTGGAAGTTTTATTTTATTATTAGCACCTGTTTTTTTCAGAAGCGATTATCAGAGCCTGCTTGAAACCTCAAGACAATGGCAGTAAAATTTTCGTTTATCTATAGCTTGGAAGAGATTAGCAAAAGTGGATTACTAATTTTTTCTCATAGATGTTAGCTGCTTGAGATTTTACTTCTTACCGGGCTATATTAAAGTTGCAGTTGCCTCTGCCTTTTTTAGTTGAATGCTTGTCAATAAATGTATTATTTATTAATCTACAGGAAACCAACAGGTTAGAATACTTGATTCCAAAAAAGACATCCTTGAGGCATAGATTGCCAATGGGAGACCAAGGCTTCATTGACTTTGTGGCTCACTTGCTTGAAGTCAACCCTAAGGAGCGACCCTCTGCATCTGAAGCCCTGAAGCATCCATGGTTATCGTACCCTTATGAACCCATTTCATCTTGAAATATTTGGAGGGTTCTGTATGGTCCTAATCTCACATACCCAGAGTTGGGTTAGGTTCATGGTTTCAGAGTGTAGAGGACCCACTGATACATCCTTTCTGCTTTTCATTGTCTATTTTAAAGAGGAAATGGAAAGAGTTGTGCCCTTCCACATTCATGAATACTGCTTTGGAAGGGTTTTGGTTGTGGGAAATGTCTGTCTCTTCTTCTCCTAACCAAACTGTGTTCCAGTGACAAACCATACGATCAAACGATGTAATTTTGCACGTATGGTGTTATGTTAGTTAGGTTTATACTTTCTTTGTTCTGCCGGACAGGGAAATCTTAGAATCTTCTTGTACATGGTATGTAAGTGATAATTCTTTAGGCTACTAGTAATATTTTTGTGATATATTATATGTATCCTAAATCCAATTTTGTATGGCGTGCGACACCACACTTGGGAGGGAGCGATGGTCAAAGATTAAAGAAAAGCTGCTGACAATGTGAATCATTTAATACCACATGCTTGCTTTGCATGGAACCCCAAAACTCAATTTGGGAGCAATCGATTTGTATCTTGATACTGTTAAGGAACATTTTGTTCAGTTTTACCAACAGTGTTGGATCGAGAATACTTGTTAAGGCATTTGGGTCGACAATATTTTTGCTTTCATTTTTTATAGGTTCATAAAGAAAACAATGGTTTTTTAATTTTTAGACAAATATTCAGAATTAAGTACTGTAAGTATAAATAAAAGTTGTAAACAATTATAAAAAACAAGTAAAAATATTAAATTCTAAATAATTATCATTTTAAAAAGGTTCAACTTTATGAATAAAATAAATGAGTTAATTGTTATTGTTCAAACTTGGATCGTATTAAAATTATTTGCTGTCAGCAGTTGCACATTTACATTACGTCCTTTCTCCTTTTAATTACCTTATTCAACCACACTGGAGTCAATAGATGGTCAGCGTTAGTAGCTGCTTCATTTCAGATGAGTTCGTGTAGTAGCTGGTGACTTAGTTGCAAGAACTGTGTATATCCGATAGTTTTACGTAAAATATATAAACATCTTTATTAAAAAGTCAACTTTAAATAATGGAATGTTTTTCCCTATTTGCGTGTCATTATGATAGTATCGTACTATCAAAGGAGAAACTATGTCAATTTGCTTTTAAGAAAACAACTAAATTAAACAAAAAAAATAATGACAATTAAAAGATAAATCATAGGAACAAAAAAACTATTAAACCTATTTCATCGTATTCCACTTATTAGAAAATACTTAAATATAACTTACCGTGCACACATCTTACAATTATATAAATGATTTAATAATGTCCTCATCTCTATTTGGACAATATCTCAGGCAAAAGTATCAACACATGGTCTAAGATGCCATCCATTGCCATATTTCACCTCCTTTTGCTCCCCCAGCGGTTATGCCCAGCAAAGTCTAGGATTATATGCATTCAATTACTCTACACATCAAATTAGCTTTCATTATACAAAACTTTATACATTTAATACATGTATAGAAAAATTTCCAATTTCTTTGTATTTTCAAATTGAGAACATATATTCTAATTACGCTCTAATGTAAAACAAGAATTAATCACAACAAGCTTGATTTGTTGCCACTTCTGTTCGCAGAAGTTTATTATCATGTTGTAAGTTCAAGCAGGATAAATTATGTGCATGACTATTAAAAACAAGTATACAACTTACTAAGGCAAAGACACTACAAAATATATATGCTGTCAGGGTTTTCTAGAACATCTTTCCGATGCCGTCCTGCCTAGGAACAGATTCATTAACATCCATTCGCTGCCAATTCCCCACAATAGAAGCCAACTGATCAACCTTGTCATACAATCCTAGGAGGCCACCAGTATGTACGAAGAGGATCTTTCTCCCTTCCCACTTCTTTGGATTTTCCAACATATCTTTCACCATTGCATAAGCAGCCTTCCCGCTGAGAGGGTATTACCAACAGAATATGAAGTTAACTAAACTTGGCAATATTCAATAAATAACATTCACTTGTGTAATTTTCATAAAAAGATTTTTTTTTTCCTTTCAAGTTTGGAATATGCAGAGGAATTCACTTGAGGTACATGTAAAGGAATTAAAAATGAGTACTAAACGAAAGGCAAAAAACTTAATACCCTAAAAAATGCAAGAGAACATTCAATACTTTCTCATATAGGTGATACAAGGATTAATGAATGGTACACTACACGTTTGATAACAAGCAAGGCCCGTGAGTTTTAGTATTATAGATTCAAGTTTTTATAAATTCACAAACATTTTTATATAGGATTATTTTATCTCTTGAGTATTAACGATTAGCCATTACCTGATTATAAATGTAAACTACATGTGTCTATGATGCCTGTCAAATAATAGCACCACCTTTTAGTAATAACTTTTTGGTCTAAGTACATATTTGGTCTAAGTACGTATTTGGTCCCCTATTTTGGTTAGTCTGCAATTTTGATCCTCTATTTTAATATAAAAACATTTGATTTTCCTATTTTAGAAAATCCTTAATTTTGGTCCAACTTTCTACTTTCATATGTTTCATTTCTATTATTTTGGTTCCTTAAACTCTAGAGCTAACATATTCAAAGAGGTATCATTAAAAAAATGATTTAGTTAATTAAATTGAGATAAAATAAATAAATACAGACAAAATTGAGGATTAATCCAAAATTACATATTTTTTAAATAAGGAGACCAAATGCTATTTTCAAATTAGAGGACTAACAATGTGAACATGAGATTCACGTAAATGTACAAAGTAATTTCGTTATTGAGAGTCTTTTTGAACAAAATCTTTCACGAGGACTTTAAGAAGAGAAAAAATAAGAAAAACGAAATGAAATTTTTGTATAAATTGAAATTAGTTCAAACAAGTTAAAAAGTAAAAACTAAGTTACATGACAAACTTCTTCAGAGGGACTTTAAGAAGAAATATAAAATTATTTGTTCAATAGAGTAAAAATAGAGAAGTTATATGACAAAACTTATATAAATTAACTTACATAAGCTAATTTTAAGAAAAAATCATTTAATTTTTGCTTCTTATTTTTCCATCCTAAAAGTCTGTGCCAATAGACCCATATACAAAACAATTTGACAGTGTACAATCTGCGGAACAAATAAATACCTGTATACTGGGTCAAGAATAACACCAGTAGCCGCAGCAACATCTTTTACAAAATTAAGCTCCTCAGATGTATTCATTGCATAGCCAAGACCCTTGGCCTGTGAACAATTAAATTTTCATTATCAATTATAAAGCATTTAAACCAAGATAAAGAATCAAGTTTTCCATATCATAATTGAATGTGATTGTACAGACAGACGTCACGCATGTTAGCTCTCCGGGAGTTTATCATCCATTAGTCTGTACTCTTTTCCCCTTTAGATAAGGTATTGTCCAATTTAAATAGAGCTTAAAAACAAAAAAAAAACAGCTAGACCATGAAAAGTACCATGTTTTACTTACTTTCTCCAACGAATTCTTATAAATCTTACCAACCAGAAAAAATACCAAGACACTCACGTTTTGAATGTGGACAATATCTCTCGAGTTAACACCAGCATCGAGTCCATCAAGCAAACCTTGAGCAAAGTTGTGGAAGTAATCAGGGTCATCACAAACAGAGAACGCATGTACCTGCAGCAAGCACATAAAAAATATGAAAGGCTGAGAAAAACATGGGTTATGCAAGTCTTCTTAATGGAAGATATACATTTGCTTTCAATGTACTCAACGATGATCCAAGCGACAGACCAGCAATTGTGCCCCCACTGAAAGTTAATAAATATACGATATTAAATAGATGAAATATAATTAAATATATTTTAATAGATAATGTTCTCCTGAGGTGGTGTATCAATTATAAAATCAATCATAACACTGATTAAGGTGACATTCAGTAAAAAGTTTGGTTGTAAATTATGAGTTGAAAGCACTTAATGACAGCACTCGTAATTGTCACCAGATCTTAATTTACTAATTACCACATTGGAAGATGGCAGAAAGTTGTTACAAAAAGTATTATCTAAAATATAAAGACAATCCAACTGAGGGGAAGATGACCACTAATGAGAAGATAAAGAAATCAAGAAGCCATAACCTGCCACAAGCAACAACAATATCATCAAACTTGGTATTGTCAGCCCCCCTCTGAATTTGTTGCTCGATTTCTCGAACAGCCTCTATATACCCCCTGAAAGGAATAATTTAATCACACTAAGAATGTAAAATAAATAAATAATAAATTTATCCATGATCACAAGTTGGGAACAAAGTAGTTCAAAAGTTCCATGTATATATGCCCTCACAAATTTCAATACAGTTACATTTTCAGCTAAAAAATTAAAACAACCATTTTTGGGTAAAAAGGGTACTTAGACCATGGTAAAAGATTATCTTGTTGATTTAAGATAAAGACAGATATCTAGCATTAAATCATAAAGAAAAGAAAGTTTTGATAATGATGATTTATGAAGAAAAAGATCAAGTCTTGAAGAATACTTGGATGCAAAAACCATCTTGAAGACTTATAAAAAATTGTGTTGAAGTCATAGGAATGATGTAATTTCCATGTTAAACTAGATTACGAAACAATTTAAATGGTAAGTGGAAGACAGCTATAGTGCAACTTCATCGTTATCACCTTGGAGACTCTTGAAATTCTCATAAAAATGTCTTCTTGCTGTGATAATCAATTATCAATTACAAATCATTTTCTAGTTTGAGATAATCGATTATCTCTTAAATAATCAATTATTCCATTAGAAATTTGTTTTCAAATTTACTCTAGAGTAATTGATTATCATAATGATTGATTATTCTGACCTATTTTTGAAATGGGTTTTTTCTAATATGGGGCCGGTCAAAGTGCATTTTTCTCTCTAAATTATGCAGAGCTCTTTGTTTTCAATATACCAAAGTAAGAGTGTGAATTAGCTCTGAAATAAGCTTTGGTTTAACCTAGTTTAAAAAGAGTGGCTTTTAAGTTTCTCCAAGATTGTTCTCGTGTGATAAGGTGCCCCGCTGCTATGGTTTGGAGCTTATCTCTTAAGATTTGTTATGGGAAGTGTTCTTCATCTCTTGTGTTTTCAAGAGAAGTGTTTATCATTCCTTGTAGTTTATCAAGGAAAGTGTTTTTCATCTCTTTGTGATTTCAAGAGAGATGTTTTCACATTCTTTGTAGGTTTTGCAAAGGTGTCTTTTCATTATCTTAACTGTGGTTTTGTATGTTTCACTTTGTATTAGTGGTTGTAATATCAGTTTAAAATAGTAATTTGTAATTACTCTCTTTGAGGTAATTAACCACTAAATATAGGATCTTTGTTAATTTGAACCGGTATAAAAATTCTGCATGTGACTTTCTCTATTCCTTATTATCTTTATTTCGCTCTTGCTTTGCAAGATTAAAGTGAGTGTTTAGAAACAAGCTTAAAGAAGATGGAAATATTATAAAAAACAAAGCAAGACTTGTTTTTAAAGGATACATTCAAGAAGAAAGTACAAACTATGAAGAAACTTATGCTTCAATTGCAAGGTTAGAGGCTATACATTTACTTCTTGCTTATACTTCTATTATGGGTTTTAAACTTTTCCAAATGGATGTAAAA